TCTGAAAATTCAAGCACCTGTAAATTCATAAATTTGCGAATCGCCAATTAAGTATTTGAAAATTGAAAATTTGAAATTCTGAGAACCAACATAATTCAAAAACTACTAATTAAAAAATAGTAAAATCTCTAACATTCCTACTTCCTACACCGTTCACACCACACAGGGAGTTGCAGTGATTATTGAACCAGGCCCACCCTGGTCCCTCCGTAGTTAGGCCAACGCGTATTGTCATTCGTGAGTCTCATATCGGGCAAGACTTCCAGATCGACGGTCGCCCCGTGCAAACTTGCATTTATTGTAAATACGAGCCGTGCTCGCTCAACGCCGCAAAATGTTTATAATAAATCGTAATTGTAAGCGCTTTTAAGTCACTATGCCGACGATATCTTCGATAAATGTTCTCTGTGTGTAACATCCGGCCTTTTCTTTCGTCTGCACGTGTACGTGTGTATGTTTCGTATGAATCTTTCTTTCCCTTCGTTTTCGCTATCAACGTTCTCTCTGTACAGTCCTAATCGCTGCCCAATTACACCCCTGTATGTCCAAACGCGTTTGGAAACAAGAAAAAAGGAAGAAGATACATATACTCTAACTTTCTTGCGTTCTTACATTTTGTCACTTTTTTCTCGCTTGTACGTCATTCTTTTTTTTTTTCTTTTTTTTTGTATATATATTTTTTTATTTCGTTGGAACAAAATTCATTCTGCCGGTTCAAGCGTTAGAGATGTAAAATGTCGAGAAAGTTTCGTTCAGACAGTCGTTGAACTTCGTTACGATGCAAAATATATTTGTACCAAAAAAGACTGGACAGCATTTTCTTTTACCTTCAAAACGTTTCAGCTACTTGTTCCTTTCGTAGTATAAGAATAATTGCTTGTACTTTGGAATTTATTGTTAGCTTTGTAGTGATGTTACAGTGGTGGTGGAGGAAAGAAGAAAAGAACGTGAACGTACATCTCTTAATGATACACGAATCAACAATCGACCATTCTAACAGAGATTAGACGCTGAAACTAATAAATAATTCAACGAATCGAGATCACGCGCCGAGATGTGTTTTTCATAATATCTGAGTCCATTTTTTTTTTTATTTTTATTTTTATCAATCGTCGATATTATTGAAAAACAATGAGTGGCTTTTACCCGAAGGACGATTCGATCTTTCCAGAAAGTTTACATCTCTATTTTATTACGAATATATAGATTTATATATATGTATATATATATATTTTTTTAATTTAATATTACTATTATTACTATACCTTAACATTAATATTATCATTTCGTTATAATTATTACTACTACTAATCTCTCACGCTCCTGTTCTACAGTTTCTGTTCAAGTGATATGGTTCTTTGACTTTTTCTTTTTGATTCGTTTAGGTATAATACTGATTTGATCAAGAGCATTTGAACTTTCCTCGAACTTGAACAACAACAAAACTCTCTTGTCCTTCCCTTCACTTTCTTCATTACTTTAAATGCGTACTCGAATGTACTTCAAGTGCAATACAGGCTTCTTAAAGGTATACAAGACCCTAGGGAGACTTAAAAAATTCCAGAAATAATACAGAGAATCTTTAGAGATCCTAGATGCTGGGAAGAACTTAGGGACCTTGACAATTTGGCAGATTCTGGATACGTCTGAGAAATTTTAGGTAAACTCTAGATAAACTTCAGAATAGATTGAGAGATGCTAGAACTTTGAGAGTTAGAAACCTAAAAGATCCTAGACACCCTTGAGAACCTCTGATTCTAGGGAGATCCTAAAGAGGACCTAGAAATGAGAAATGAGAACCTTTAGCAGATCCTAAATATACTATCTTTTGAGAAATGTAGGACTGAATTTCCTAGAAAAATTCTAGAACCTTACAGAAAGCCTAAACTGCACCTGATTGTACTCAAATTAACACACTGACTGCCACAAGGATCACCAGCCCTTTAAAGTATAATTAATGTAATTAACCGGTGAAAACAATAGAAATTTCAGCATAACGTTATCATCAAACATAGCAACTTGGATTTAGAGCAATTTTTAACAAATTAATCTTGCGTATCCATTTTTAAGATGGCAGTCAATGTGTTAAACAAAGGAGTCTTCCGTATAACAATTCTCAATAACATTGCAACTGATAAAAATGATCAACATTAGAAGTATAATGTTCCTCAATGGGAAGAAAATTGTAGGAAACGTATTCCAAATAATTACAATTAGTAAAATTATTAATAACTTGTACAATAATAACGGTTATAATCCTTCTGTTCAATTCGTTGCAATAACGATAGAATATTTATTGCTAATGTGATACTTGGAGATTTCAATTTTTTGTACAACTGCAAATCAATAACGGAAGTACAAAAAATTTCCCTTTATTGCTGCTTACAGCGTTACAACACTATACAACATTCATTTGTAAAACATGTTTTATTAGTGTTATGCTAAGAAATATTGCTTATAGTTACAAGAAGAAGATTTTTCATCTTATTGCCAATACAATCGAAGATCGTTAAGGATACACCAATGATTATCAACATTTCAACAGCTGATTAGTAAGCAGCAATAAAGAAACTCGTTCTAATAATTACTATTGCTTCTGATTATGTACACGTGGCTACAGGATATCGTTTCGTCAACAATGATTCGTTACTACTTGGCAAGCTTCGAGCACTTTCCTACTACGTACAAATTGATTGATTATCTAGAAAAATAATAGGAAAATATGCAAGGTATTCGTAGAACTGGGACCAAATTGATTTATGTATTAATAAATTCAAACAGGTGAATAATTTTCATTCTATCAGCTTAATACACGAATACTGTGTGTCTACTTCTTGGGAAATTTCAGCTTTTATATACAACAAATAATGTTAACTGCTCCTTTATGCTGTATAAAAATCACATTTATATCTACTTTATAAATTTGTTAAAAATAATATTTTTGTTTATTGTAAGTTTCCTTAATCTATTATTCTGGTTGCACACACTTTTATAATTTTCAATATGGAGTACTCAGAATATCAATTTTTCCATTCGATACTTCAATTTTCTATTTTGTACTATTTGCGTAACTTTAGTGTTACTAAAAATTTTCTTTATCCATTTAGTTTACACATTCGCTATCAATTGGAAATTCATCCATCGTAGATTAAGTTCTTTCGTTTTACAAAATAGTGTACGATATACAATGTTTGTGCATTATATTATTTCTTAAATTATACACCAATTGTCTATTGTAAATACGTAGAATAAAAAGTTATTTCATATGGAAAATCAGGAACGTTAGATCTATATGAAACAAGTAGCGTCTGTGTTAAATTAAAATTGTAGAACTGGTCAAATGAGACCCTCATTCTTGTCAACGTGTTAAACAGTATTTTTTAGACATCGTACGAATCTTTCGACTATTTAAATGTATTAACACAATGATTTGGCCACAACTTCTTACGGATACCCTGTATATTAGTTAATTTGAAATTAATTCTATAAACGAGTAAGATTTTAAACTCTACCATTATACGAGATTAGTCTTTTATTAGAAAAGTTCGATCGTTACAGACTCCTTTGTTTTTCATGTTACAGCGATGGACAGATCAAGTCCTGCAAAATTTAAGAACATGTTAATAGAAACTCTCAAACTTTTCAGTTCACAAATTTGTAAATTTGGAAATTTACAAATTGAAAAATTTGATCATTTGAAAACTGAAATATGTACATATAAATTTCAGATTTTCAAATTTTTTAATTGAAACTATTTCACGAACAGAGTTGCCCATCACTGTTACAAAATAGATTTCTAGTTATCAAACAACAGATTACAATTTATCAAGTTACTTCCGTGTATCCCACTTGGACGAAATCTATCGTTTAAAGAAATAGCCTATTACCAAGAAAAGTGTTACTTCTAATGATGAAATTGAAGATGTTCAACGTTTATAGATTCAATAGAAATTTCACGAACTTCTCGTCGGTCACAGCCACTTCAAAACTTTTCTCAGGTAGTTTCAAAAATGATCGATCACTACAATGGTAACGGCAAGACAAACTTTTTCTTTTTGTTCATTTTTTTTTTATATTCCTTAATAGTCCGGCATGAAGACACTGGGTATTTGGATAAAAATGGCACTTTTACTAAATATCACGACACCGAATCAGATTCTATAAATTACGACGATTGAATTTCCCCGAAGAAATTGACAAAAGTTTGACTAACTTATAATCAAACCCATGGTTTCTTCACTACCTTAATCTTTCGATTGATTCAGTAATTTATCGATAAATAATTAATTTTTGGATCTCTTTGGAGCTTTGAGAAGATTAAATATATTATTTAGAAAACATGTAGGAAATATCTTTCCATTTTATAAAAAAATAATATCAATATAGCAAGTTAGTATTGTTAGAATAAAATTATCAATGTCAGATGATTCGAATACAATAGTAAAATCACAAGTCTCTGAAAGCTTACGCTCCCTTTCCCACAGTCAAACTTTCATCCTTGCGAAACATTAATTCTAAAAAAAAAAAGAAATATTAATCTCAAAATTTACTCATCGTGGCTACTGACTAGCTGCCAAAAAGAAAATTCATTACCAACCAAAAGAAATACCTGAGAAATTCTTTTATACCCAGAAGTTATTTGAAAGGAAGCTTTTTTTAAATGCATATTTTTTTTCGAAGTCACACCTATCCGTTCTCTTCTCACTCTTGTTTCGATTCTCGTTAGTTTAGATACCTAAAATCTAACTCACATAGATCTGATGCACAGTAATAAGAGGTTTTATAATTAAAAATTACGAACCACCGTAGTTAATTGGAGCTAGACAAATATCTGCCAAATTATGCGATTCTAATAGAATTAGTTTAACACTCGCTAACAGTGTTTTCAGTTAAGAATCGGTTTAAATGCAGGTAGCAACTTGTTTACGAGTACAACGCAGATTGCCACTCCACTCACGTCTAAAACGCTTACGCTTAATTCAAGTTACACTGTTCTTTCCTTCTTTTTTTTTCTTTTCTTTTCATTTTTTCCTCCATTATCCGCTAACAAGATTCTAAACGCATGTAACGCATTTTTTTTTGTTTGCTTATACTTAAAAAAGATGGGCGATCAATAAAAATCGTATAAAATTGCTTCAGTTGCACGTGATTGCATGACTATCTGTATAAATAGGATGAGAATTACCTAACTATTAATAAGTTAATAAACGAGTGATGAGTTAGCGTATATTTTGTAATTTTATACACACAGGAGCGCAAAGGCAGCTAAACGATCGAACACTTATGGTTTGTTGTTCTTTCATTCATTCTCACTCTCTTTCTCTCTGTCTTTCTCGCTTTATCGCATTATGTATGTACATCCATTCATTCTTATTCACTTTCTTCTACTTGTATTCCTTTCTCACCGTGTTTTTTTCATTTTTTGTTTATTTGCACTCATTCAAGCGTTGCGCATGTAAGAATTGAGAAAATATATACATAAAAACGTCGTGTAGCGATAATAGAAGTAATAGTAATAGTTTTAATAGTAATAGTAGTAATAGTGGTAGTAGACATACTAGTAGAAGTAAAAGTATGAATGATAAATATAGTCAAACGTGGTAGTTTCACCTAATTAGAACACATTGCATTGTATTCTTTTTTTTCTTTGCATTTCATTTATGGCTAGTTTACTAGAGAAACAGGGAAAAACCGGGACGAGATGGGGTGGTAAGTAGCCCATAGGTATCGTTGGAAAGACGCGAATCAATACCTAACACAAACCTCTCAAAATGTATTCTAAAAACTTAGAGATAAGAACATTGCATTCTGTGTAATGCTTCTCTTCGTTCTTTTTTTGCATTTTTTCTTTTCATCCTTTGTACACGACGCGAAATCTTTTTTACAATCATAGTTAAGAATAATTACTATCATAAATAAGAACTTGTAAAAAGTATACCTGGTACCGTGAATCGCGAAACATCCTCTGTTAAAAAATCGTCGTCCTGAATATAAGGGATGTCTACAAAAATCACCAAAAACTTGCACGAGGAGCGATAGCAGTCATCTTTTGAACGGTCCTTACAAAAGAACATATCGAGAACCCGCACACGCCGATTTTGATGGAACTTGTACGAAAGATAGATCTCAGAAAAATATTTCATACATATTCCCGTTTAGCGGAAATCGTTCATATTGGAGGGGTGATAACAGCCCTCAAACTTCAGGATTAGAAACATATTTCCTACCATATCTCAAAAACTAAAGCGTGTAGCCTTGTTTTTTAAATCAGCTATTTCTCAAAAAATCATTTATTCAGATAATATACTGAAACTTTGAATTTTTCATTTTATTCTCATTGCTAATATCACTACATGGCAAAAAATATTACAATAACACATAACCTCTTTACTTCATATATGCGTTAACCTTTTCAGTTCATATACCTCTACAAATTTACATGTGGATAATTAACAATAAAAATTATATAAAAAGTTAAAATTTTCAATATATCACTTTCTCTAAACGCTTTAATTTTTGAGATGCTCCAAAAAATATATTTTCAATTCTCAAGTTTGAGGGTTGTTATCGCCCCTTCGATATGGACGATTGTCGATAAATAAAAAATGTGTATCAAATGTTTTTCTGAGAACTATCTCCCATAAAAATTTCATCAAAATCGGTGTGTGCGGGTTCGATATGTTCCCTTGTTAGATTGTATTGCTGTGGCGGAATCGTGATAGTGGTAATGACAATGATAATGACAATGATGGTAACAGTAATTACGGTAATGATGATGGCGATAAACTGCTGAGTGGTCCGTGGCAGGGGATCACTTGTCAGAACTTAGGCACTCTCCAGGTTGTTTCATTATGCTGTAGTCTAGACGATACTGAGCTGAAAGTCGAAATTCTTCTTAGTATTTGTGAAAGGAAAGAGATAATACAAATTGTATACATTTTGTGAAAATCTTAATTTCTTACAAACATCATAATACCTCTTAACCTTATATGCGGTCCATTTATTCTATTTTATTAGTAATTTAGTTAATATAGTACATCCATACAGATTAAAAAACTTAAATTTCATTTAAAAAAATACTTGAAACATTTCTGTGTCTGGAAGCATGTTTGGACCACAACAAGGTAACTATTATACTACATAATATTAAATACAATTTATAAATAATAAGTAAACTTATCTACCAGTGAGACAATTTAATATATTAATATATACTACCTTTTCGCTTGTATTACGTTGTACTACGGGACATCATGTATGTACTGAGCATTTCAATAACAAAGTACAACGTAAAAACTGTAGATTCTTCACACCAGAACAAATTGTAAATTCTTTTATCATTTTGCAATTTACAACCTCGCGTCACAATATAAACAACTAAAAATTGGAAAATCAACTTCGAAAGTTTAGGACCCTTGAAATCTTGTTCTCAAAACTTATGATCTTCACTCTTCCAATACTTTAATGGCACAAAACGGTCATTCACCTCAGTCTTCATTTTCTCAGGCTCCTTTTTTTCTAGAAGCTGATATTGACCAGCTACTCAACTATTCACATTGTTTACATTTTGAAAAGGAAGATAAATTGCAAAATAGTAAAGGAATTTTCAATTTGTTTTTCTTACAGAATCCGCAGCTTTCAGCTTGTACATTATTTTTGAGATATTCTGCATACACACAATTATACATCTTAATTATATGAATCAGAATACAGAGATATATATATTTTTCATCAAATTTGATATTAATATTTTGTATATGAAAAATAAATAGAGCGTAAGATTAAAACCAATAAAAGAAATTACCTTTTTTAGTAAGGTCCTCCATAGTTTGATCTTTACAATCGACTGCGAGGTGACTACTACTGCCACAATTATAACACGAAATTTTCGTTGGTGGGACGGCAGCAGGTGCATACGTAACAACTGGAGTAGGTGGCATATAAGGCGCCTGTACTGGTGTTGCGGCTGCATTTGGAGGAGGTGGTGGCGTACCTCCTGATGATGGATGTCCAGGATACTGGTACATCATTTCACCGTTTGGTTGGTAGGTAGTTGGATAAGCCGGCCTTGTGTACGGTCCATGCGAGAAGTTCGAATAAATACCACTGCTCGGTCTCAAAGCCGAGAAATGACCATGCGGCAGATACGTGACCTGCGAATGCGACGGCGGTGCAGGGAAGGAAACACATTGTGAAAGATTCGGTGGTCCACCACCGTTCACCATTTGATTTTTATGACGTATAACATGCGTCTGATTTCTTCTGGTACGTTGCCTTTCCGGTCCTGATTGTATAGGTTGCTGAGGTGTTGCGTGTGACACTGCACTCGTAGAATGTACCGGCACGGAACTAAGGTGATCAGAAACTGGTGGCGCGTTATTCTCGCTTCCACTCACCCACGGTGCTGCTGGTGGTGTTTCTGGCGGTGATCTACTACCGGTACTGTCCGAACTACTACTTTGAGAACAATGCCTACTACTCTCAGGGTCTAACCTCAAGGCTTGTAATTGTGTCAAACAGTATACGTGTTGAGCATTGCACCTGAAATGTTTTAACGTTACGTTAGATCGGTTTGTTTGAACAAGTGTTACCGTTCTTCTTACCTTGAATACCGATTTTGTACCCCAGCAACGGGTAACGTGAGACAGGCGTAACAGGGCGCATTTTGTGCAGCATACATCGGTGGTGGTGCAGGATACATCTGTATTTGCGCAGGATCTAATGGTGGCATAGTAGGATATCGCCGTAAATTAGAAGTAGCTGCATGATTATGATGATGATGCATTGCCGGATGCTGTTCCTGTAATGGCATTGACTTACTGCTTTGATTGCCGTTATCGTTTAACATCTCCATTCCCGGTATAGCCTAAATATATTTTTTTTATTTTTATAATATTCAAGTGAAAATTAAAACTGTTCTAATATATTAAATAAAGTATTTAGTCATTACTTCATTTTCATTTGGATCTACAACTGGGTGTGTTGTGCTAGTAGTATTGTCCAACTTTTTATCAGGAGTGATTTGATTTAAACCGTTGGTGGTTTGACTTTTAACTATACTCCGTAGTTGTCCTACTGCATTTGGCGTTAATCCTATTTCCCTCAAATCCTCATCGCTCATTCTCCGAATCTGTACTCAATATGTTGTAAGTAATATAAGAATTTCTTATAAAAACTTCTATTATGTATTATATACAAAATAAATATTTTACAGTATTTTATAACATATAAGCATCAACTAATCTAAAACTATACTATCTCACCTCGTCGAGAGAAAAATTCTGCAAATTGCCTTTGAAATTTGGCATTTCCTTTCCTAACGTTTCTCGTAAAGAGTCACCAGAAGTCGAAGATCGCAATCGTGGTGGTGGTGGTTGTTTTGATTGAGGTGCTGCCGGAATTAAGGTAGAAGAGGTATTCTCGATGCTATTATGCCGTGAAAAAGTAGTAGAACTGCTGATAGATAAGGGAACAGAACGTGATGGAAGCAGTGGAGGTTGACTAGGATGACTTCTGCTCGTACCCAACGTGGGAAGTGGAGGAAGGGAATTGGCATTCGAACTGGAGATGCTTGTCTGACTGTTAGAGGCACTCGTTGATGTTGTTAAGGTGTTCGAAGTAGACTGTGTCACTTGTGAAGAGGTGCGCGGCATGGTATTATTTCTGCGACCCATTGGGGAATTACTGCGACTAGGAGATCGAGATTGGGATGGCGACGACTGGCGACTGACTAAGGGGGAAGGTGGATAAGCCAACATATCGCCAGTATGATACATCAGTTGATTTCCCATCATAACCTGACCTGTCCATGGTGGCATATGATTTACTGATGGAAAACCAAGGTGAAGATACTGTGTTGCACCACCTGATCCCATTGGCATTTGTTCTGGAGTTGGTAAGCATAACCCAGGTGGAGGCATCGAAAGACCAGGAGGAACTCCAGTTACCATGGTATTATTTCTCATTGCCATTTCTCCTATAAATAATATACAAATATTATTAACACCACTGTACTAATAGAGAATTGTATGTATAAACAATTATTGTTTTCAATTTATAATTATTTACTAATTGCATAAGTTATACAAATTACCATGGTAAGTTTGCATTGGTGGAGGAGCCATCATACAACTGCCTTGCATCTCTGTGTCCATTAATCGTTCATTTGTGCTCATACATGGTGTACAACCCTGCTATTATAATAAATATATTAACAAAACAAATAATAAAAAAATTTGTTTATTTTGTAAATAAATCAGTGTTTAAATGTTCAAATTGATGTATTTTAATATTACTAATGTAGTAGATTAAATACTTAATGGTTAACATAAAACACATACTTGTGTTTGCTTGTAGGCTGAATTTGACTTTGAGAGATTCAATCGAGCTTCTTCTTCTTGAAGCTTTATGTAGATGTTACCGAAGACACTTTTCTGCTCATAAGTAAACGCTGGATGATTTAATGCCATCGTATACAATAAGAGCAGCTCTTCCAAAGGTTGGTCATCCGGTGTAAAGATGGTCCCATTTAATAGGTTAGAGATCTCTTGGTAGTCAAAATTTGATAGATTCTTGTACAAGATAACTGCACATGCATAATTACACGAATGTAATAATGCCATATAAAGAGCAAGTTTTCTTCGTGTGCGTTTATCTGCCACGCCTAAAGTTGTCAGCTCAGCAAGATCAGAGGCACTATTTGCATGATGTTCCGTGTCACGCAGGTCATTATAATCCCGCTTACCAATATCCTCCACGCAAGTGCCAAGATATCGTACTTCAAATGGCAGGCACATGTTTAATAACGTGCACATGACATCGATGCGTTTATAACTGCACATATATGAAAATACATATTATAAAGGCACTTTCTTTTTATATATATTAAAATCTTAAAATGCTAATATATATACAATTTATGTATATTAAAGCTAATAAATATAATAATATTTTATAAAAAGTTCATATGTACAGGAAATTATATGAACATGTCAATACATAGGAAATTACTTAATTATTTGTAATTTGTTATAACTATAAACATGTTAATTTTACATCTTACATTGTTTTATTTTCATGTTATATATTTCATATTAAGTTTTCAAGTGCATCATTAATGACATAAATGCTTTGAATGTCATATAAAATAAGTCTTTGTAAATTGTCATATATCTTAGAAAAAAATAAAATAGTTTATTAAATGTTATTAAGAGCATCAATTACAGAAATAACTGTTAAAACAGCATTAAAATGATATTTAAAGTTCATATAATATACATATATGAATGTTTCTAATAGAGATATGTATATATTTCATTTAACTTATACCTAATTCAAAAATCTTTAATAATACATAAAATTTAAGAGAAGTTATAAATGGTACTGATATTTATAACAATACAAATATACATATATATGTTACAATTTTCAATTTCAAGAAGGAAGCATACAAAAAATGTATTGTATCACTTCATTGTTACATTTTAAATGTACCAGTAATTATAGACAAATATAGCTACTACCATACATGGTACTTGGATGCAATAAACAGAAAAATTACGCGTCGAAAACGAAGTAAATTGGACATCAACGAAAATCAACATTCGTACAACTCGTCGAATGTTAGTACGTTCAGAATAGTTTCTAACACAATTAGTTAAGATCGTAGAATATTCTTTTTGGTTAGTTCGAAATTTAGCAAGAAGAATGAGGAGGTCACGATGGAAAACGTAACAGCGTGATTAGGGATAAGAGAGACAAAACGATTTATCTTGGACAAAGAAAATATGGCATTAACCAGGAACAAGGGTTGATGATGTTTCTATTACCTGGACAGATTCCCAAACCATGATACCACGTTCTCCTTACACACCATTGCCAGACAACATTGATACCACTTGGGCTGAAGAAAGCGCCGATGCGGACAGCTTTGGCGCCTCGGGTGTTGCTATCAAGTGACAATCACGGCGGGGTCTGGTACAATAACGAACCAGTTCCAAACCGTTCACAAATGTGAAAGACTCTTCAAAATCCGGGGGCAATCAGCCGTGGCGAGCACATCAAACGCACAGCGGCGGCAGCAGCAGTACAGCACACCGTGAAGCATCCACATTCGCGGCAGCAGGCAGAGGCAAGAACGACCGAATGATCGGTGAAAACGACAAGCGGCGACGAACGAACCACGCGTTCATCAAAAACTTCCCATAAACGAGCGCACGATCGCGTTATCGGAAGTAAAATTCTACCTCTGCAATTGTCTTTGCTGCGTATGTTAATTTTCACAAAATGTTCCGAATCGAAAAGTCTGAGTCTCGAGGTCCGTTCACATGCTCGCGTTAAAAAAGGCATCAGGCACTTACTGCTCCCGTCTAGGATTAAGCAGCGTTTTCATGTGGCTGACAATCATGGATACCAATCATCGTATTGGCTACTTTCAATTTACCTTCTGATTAAAAGGATATTTTAATATTTGATCTAACATGGCAGAATTTATTTTCTGAAAAATATATGACTAACATCTCTTATGAATAGGTAGAAAAGTATGCGTACAAACATGAAATTTGAAATATTCGATTTAGTAGTAATTATATTTTTAATAGACAGTAATTTTTTCAATTTATTAAACTAATGTATGTATGTGTATATTATGTATACAATTCATCTTACTGCAGAAATAAAAGTAATTAAGAAAAACGATAAAAAAATATGATTCTGTGTGAACGGACTTTACACGAACATGGTAGTCTTCTTCAGAAAAAACACTGATGTTGTGAAACGTCTTAAAAATTAAGAATTTAAATATTTAAAAATTCGAAAATTTGGAAATTTAAGAATTCGAGAATTTAGATATTTGAAAATTTCTAATATTCTTTGGTTTGCATGAGTGGTTGGAATTTCCCTTTCTTATATCGCCATTTTTTTTAAAAGACGGGATTCCCCCGTAGTGTACAATACCCAAGTTGTGTTCTTATCATTCCCGGGACTTCTCGGAAACATTTTCATATTTATTAAATAGAAGTATTTGTAATATCTTCGTATTCATCATTAATATTTTTATACAACTTGTATAATTAATTTCAAATGTAAAACTTATTTACAATAAATAGAAAAAAAAAACAAAGATTTAATTGACAATGTTTTATATAATTGCTTGACCAGAACCAAATAACAAATACACTATACATCCTAATGCATCTATTATAGCTATAAATATAAATACAACGGACCAGCTATGTGTTACATGCAGAATATGTCCAGAAAAATATACTCCAAGGAATCCTGGAAAGATGTCACTATTATATTTTTGCTTTATATTAATACATTTGTACTTTTATTTACCAGGTATAGCACCAACAGTATTCATTAATCCAAATACACTGCCAGAATGTTTGGGTGCAAGATCAGAAGGATTCACTGCAATTGCATTGTTATGGAAACCTGATCCACCAATTATAAATGCAAGACAAATTATAGCACTTTGGAAGGTTTTCACATTTGCTGAAATTCATAATTTAATATTTCATTTCACTACTTATTTATTTGGTGCTATTATACACATACCTAAAAGTAGTAAACTTATAACTTCAGTTATAAAACATATTGTTTCAATTATTTTACGTGTCACTGTAACAGAGTATCCAGCTCTGATGATTTTTTCAGAAAGTGCTTTGCCCAAAAATGTACAAGGTAGAATAGACAACCATGGTACCATATTTACAACCCAACCCTAAATGTTATAAATTGTTTAAAACATTGAAAATCAAGCAGAATACTGGAATATTTATTAGTAATTAACTACCTTCACTTCAGGAAATGTATCATGAAAATATGCTGGCATCCAGGACAACAATACAAAAAAGCAATTATTTTGGCAAGCATGACCTATTACACATGCCCTGAAAATTATGGTTTATATATGAGAGCTATTTACTTAACAATTTATTACTGCACTATATATAAAAAAATATTTATAACTATATATACTTTTTACATTAAGTTTTGTGTCAGAAATTTTGTGATTTATGATAATTGAATTCAAATTGACCCCATGCACAATGATTACCAGAATGGAGGTTTTTTCAGGAGCTTCAACCAAGGCAAAGTGTAGCTAGTAGTAGATTTAATAGACGTTGTTCTTTCCTTAAATGGGAGAATATGGTAACTTAATAGAAGTGTCCATGCCAAGCTCAAACCTCCTATATGAATAAATTTGTTAGTTTACTGTATTCACAAGCTGCACATGTTAGTAATTAATACACTGCAATCATTAACAATGTTAATATTACAATTAAAAACACATATACCTATAATACATTTGGAAAAATATTTTCAAATAATTGTGAATGTATTAAAATCCACAATAAAATTTCAGCCTATTTACTGCTTATAATATAACACGAAAAGGAAACAGTTAAATACATTTTATAAATCTAGATAAATAATTAATATGGTATCAAAATACAAACAATTAAATACAATATATATACATTTATTTACCTAAAATTTGAAAAACTGTCATCCAGTTATAGTTTTCCAATAAATAGGAACCTAAGGATCCAGTAAGCAATGTACCAAGAGCAGATCCAGATGTTAATAGACTAAAAAATGATGCTCTTTCTGTTTCATGTAATCGTTGACTTATTAAACTAATCATACTAGGAAAATGCATTCCTATAATGTAAAATTTTTGTAAGTTTAAAAAGCATATATTTTTTATGTGTTTAAGTTTAATTTGTTAATTTCATAAAAATACCTTGGAATGCTCCATTTATTGTTCTTACAATTGCTACTAATAATACAGATGAATCACTTTTTGAGAAGAATTCTATAATTTCTGGCATAAAGAATGTTGTCATAGACCATCCAAGAGCCGAAATTAATAATACTTTTTGTCCTCCAATTTTATCGCTAATATAACCACTTGCAACTTGTGTTAAGGTATAACCACCAAAAAAACTAGATAATATTATTCCAGAATCTGGTTTGGACCATTGTTTCTCTTTACTTATAATTGGCATTAATAAGGGAACAGATGTCCTTGTGGCATATATGAGACAAGTGCCGCACAATAGTGATAAAAACCATTTTCTTCTTTCCTTTCTACAAAATAGTTCAGATTTATAATATTTGTTATGAAAATGTTTTTTGATATATTTATAATAGTTACCTTGACCAAGATGAATTTGTTTTCTCATCTTGGTTGAATCCTAAAGGTATTTGCATTTGCATTTTTCATCAAATAGTTTAGTTCATAAAGAACTATGGTTAGTTTCATTTGTTTAAAATACATATGTTGTATATATGCATATTTTTATGACTATTAATTGACGAATATTGATTAAAACTTAGAGTAACATTGTATTATTTCTAAATATTATAAAATTACAAGCAATACTGAATTTATACATTTGAATCATTCTTTTGATTAGTTAAATTTTATATAACAAATTAACTGTACCTTTACGTTTACAACCTACGAAAGGTACTAAACGCAAATGACTACTGTGTTCTTTTTGTATGACAGGTCATATTTAAAATGGGATTGTATATTCACTTTGCTTACATAAGTTTTTAAATTGCACGTTTTAATCTTAATTGCATTTCCTACGTACATAAATAAATTGAAAATGAACCATTCGAAAATTTCACGCAGTGAAGTAGTCAATAATATGAAGTTGTTCCTTCAATCGTCTATGATAACACATATACGTATATATATTATGTATAAGTGAATGTCACTTCTGTATACACAGGTTTTCTTTGAATAACGATAAATCAGAACACCTAAACATTTGCCACGGATTTTACCTTTTCAAATTTCCATATTCCCTAATTCCTAAATTAAAAATGTTCTAAATTCTCAGAATAATATAAACAATTCTGCGCAACAAAATAAAATTGATAAAATATAAAACTTTCTGTAATATTAAATAAATTGGGCCCTTAGACCAAGATCAAGGTAACCAATAACTTTTCTTTTCCGAACCCTACAAGTTTTGCATTTCTATATTGTACCTCCTTTGAATTGTTGAGAGCTTCTACTTGAAGCTCTATATACTTTTATTTTGCTGAAGCTGCATATACTTTTATTTTGCATAAATCTTTGCTGTGTACATGTATCCATATGGAAAGCTTGAATTTACTAAATGGATATACATAAATGTATTTGAGATGTATAATTATTGTTTCACATATTTCATACATTATGTATGTACCATATGTCAGGTACCTGTTTCCTATTGAGAATAATGTTCTTAAATGTTAATATTTTTAAATCAAAATCTTCGATAAAGTATTTGCATGTTTAAAATCAAAATGAATCGTCTGAAGCTTATCATTTGAACGAATTGATAAATTTTGAACAAGACGTTATATACAAATTCAAAATAGGTATTTCTATAATCGCGTAATCATTTATTCGTTTGACCTTGAAGATTTATTGGTTACTGAATAAGTACAGAATAATGATATTTGCGTCATGTTGTATAACATGTAACCATACATAAAAAATAAAAATCTTTATCTTGATAGAACTTGTAAATACATAATCGTTAATTACACGTATGATTATTTTTATAATATATAGTATATTATATAAAAAATTGATTATGCAATGTAGAATAATATTGGATAATAATTACATGATAAAAAAACTAATTGTTTGTTCAAATAAGGTGCAAATTTGATAAAAAAATACGATACAATCATGTTACAGTGTGTGACACTGTTTCACATATACGCGCATGAGTATATATTATACTGTACATAACCGATACACGATAAACGTCAGCAGTTGGGTCCAGGCACTTGATTAGAACCTATTGAAATATTATATTACATTACTAAGAAAATGACACAAAGTAGGAGCCTTATTAGACTCAATTTTCCTCGACATTTACTTAACAAAAATGATAATGTTTTATCATATATTGTTAGACCAATGAGGTAAGACTTTAACGGTTTTAGTGTAGTTTTTAACCTTAGTATTATTATGAGATATTAGTTATTTGAAAATAACAGTTGCTATTCAATTTCATATTAGAAATATAAAACTTACTTTTTAGAAATTTCATATTACAAAATATTTCAAATGAATATAAAATATTTAAAGCATTATAATGCATGTGAATAAATTGTTGAATGAAAACATGTACAACTATTAAATTTAAATATAAATAAATTATTAAAGTATTTACTATATTTATTATTTATTATTATCTATTATTTTATGAAGTATTAAAGTATTTATCATTCATGTTCCAGCTCATGGTGGTCTCATGTTGAAATGGGACCACCTGATCCAATTTTAGGTGTTACAGAAGCATATAAGAGGGATCAAAATCCAAAAAAAGTTAATTTGGGAGTTGGTGCTTATCGTGATGATAATGGTAAACCATTCCTATTACCAAGTGTAATAAAGGTATAATTGCTATTTAGTAAAAGTACAATTTATAATTCAATAAAAATGGTAGAATATAATAGAGTTACATGTTTTATAGGCTGAAGAAAAAATTAAATGTAAGGGTATGGATAAAGAATATGCACCAATAGCAGGGAATGCAGAATTTTGTAAGCATAGCATCAACCTGGCACTTGGTGAAGATAGTGATATAATTAGGAATTGTCTGGTATGTATATTACTATATGTCTACCAATAATAAAAAAGATTATGAATAAAAATATCATTAAAAACTTACATTTTTTATTTATATTACTGTTTAGAATGCTACTGTTCAAGGACTTTCTGGGACAGGTTCACTCTGCATTGCAGCAAACTTTTTTACACACTTTTTCCCTGGTCATAAAGAAATATATTTACCAACACCTACTTGGGGGAACCATGGTCCTATATTCAAACTTGCTGGACTTTCAACAAAATCTTACCGTTATTATGATCCAAAAACTTGTGGATTGGACAGTGAGGGTCTCTTAGAAGATATATGTGTTAGTCACATATCAGTTATTTAAAAAGTATAGAATTATAGTCTTAAGTATTAATTACAATGTTACATTTTACAGAAAATGCCAGAAAAATCTATTATTCTTTTCCATGCATGTGCACATAATCCTACTGGTGTTGATCCCAAACCAGAACAATGGAAAGAATTGGCAAAAGTAGTAAGGAACAGAAATCTGTTTCCTTTCTTTGACATGGCATATCAAGGATTTGCTACAGGTATAATAATATTAATGTGATATTTAAGAAACTATGAACTTAATATATTTAAATATCTAATACGAATTTTTAGGTGATATAGTGCGAGATGCTTTTGCAGTTAGATTATTTGCTAAGGAAGGAATTCCATTTGCTTTAGCTCAATCCTATGCTAAAAATATGGGTTTATACGGTAAAGAGATAAATTAAAAATATTATATAAATACATATAAACACACTTTCTAACATTACTACTTTCAAATAGGCGAGCGTGTTGGAGCACTTACGTTCGTTACTTCGTCTAAGGAAGAAACTGATCGTGTTCTTTCACAATTAAAAATTTTGATTAGACCAATTTATTCTAACCCACCAATTCATGGTGCTAGAATTGTTAACGAAATATTAGGAAATTCCGAAATGAAGCAGGAATGGCTTTGTGATGTAAAAGGAATGGCAGACCGTATTATTTCCGTGCGTAAACAATTACAGGAGAATCTTAAAAAGAATGGTAGTTCTCGTGATTGGTCGCATATTACAGATCAAATTGGAATGTTCTGCTTTACTGGTCTTAATCCCTCTCAGGTATAGTGAAGACTAATTAATAATTTTTGTGGTTTAACTTAACTGGTAATAAATTGTTTGTGTTAATATTTATTTTATAGGTAGAGAAACTTACAAAAGATTATAGCATTTATTTGACCAAGAATGGCAGAATATCCATGGCAGGAGTGACATCAAAAAATGTAGAATATCTTGCACAAGCTATGCATGAAGTTACAAAATAGTTCAACATTTTTGTCAATGGTTAACTTAGCCAAATTCTGCCTTATAATTTCCAACATGCGATTTACATATAAACAAACTGCAACCTACATCAAAACGAAACGCATTTAATTTTACATACTGCTATTATAGAGATACTGCAGGCAGTATAACTTTTTATGAAACTCTAGTACGATGTTAACTTATATTTGGTATATATTATATTTAGAATTATATAAGATCTAGTAATCTTTATACCTCCAGGATGAGATTTATTTTTTCGATAATGTAGGCTACAATCTACCGTTTGAATAGTTCATTCTATAAGTAAGCTATGGATAATTGAAACAGAAACAGAGTAACATAACAGATCACAATATATACCAGTGAAAAAATAAATAGTGATCTGTATCAAAATTTATTCAATCATGGATAATACAGATGTTTCATTGTATTTTCTTAAAGAGATTCAGCCTATACCTAATTGTCACGCGATTTCTAAGACGTTGTATTTAATTAATATATAAAGCATTTTGTTTTAATATAAGAAATACATTTAGTTTCTATGTAGATAAATTCTACTAATCAATCAAACGATTAATGCATGTAAATTTATCTATTAATTGTACCAAATGTCAATAAAACTAATCGTTTATTTTTCTAATACCTTAGATATAATATGCAATAAATTCAATATATTGTATCATTGTGTCTTTTAATTACCCAATAACAAGGAATATCTTTAAAAATTTCCAAATTTCAGACTTAAAAGGTATATGTATATGAATATAACAAATGTGAAGGATATAACAAATTAAAAGGACACTGGATATACATTCGTTCAACATCATGAAAGTCATAAACATGCGCAGAATGAACAAAACTTTCGCAATGTGTTCAAGCATGATCTGTCATTTATGAAGTATACTTCTCATGACAGGAACTGTACATTGTTTAGAAGTCAGTTGCTTTGTCCGTGCTTTCACGGGCGAAAAAGTTATACTTGAATCTAAATTTGTATGTTTTCAGAGTTCCATTGTCTGTAAATCTTTGAAGAGGTGCTGAATTACGTAAACATGGTAAAAAGATCCTCCGGATGAAGCGAAAAATAACGAAGAGATATGTCTGTTCGTCGGGTTTTATATTACATTGAGGTTAAGTTGTGTTCATCAAAATAACTTTCCACTTTCAGTTTGGATTTAACGTATTCCTGGAGGTTCCACGACCTTTCAATACTCAGTACAAATGCTTCTCCGTGTCAATGTTGCCGGGTACATACCGACAAGATGTAGAACGCGGTGGAAAAAGTATACGTATTCATAAATCTTTTGTCTAGCAAATAAAGAAAAGATTGTAACATCTTAATTATTTTTTAGTAATCATGCCACCTTCAGCTTTAGAACAACTTACAAGGTTGAATATCAATTATCCCATGCTATTTAAATTAACTAATAAAAAAACCAATAGAGTTACTCATTGCGGAGTCTTGGAATTTGTTGCAGATGAAGGAAAAGTTTATTTACCTTATTGGGTAAATAAAAATTACAACTATTTTATTATTATTCTATTAACTATTATATAATATCAATCATATTTTCTGGTATAATTCAATATGCATTTGCTTATAATTACAGATGATGCGTAATCTTTTGTTACAAGAAGAAGAATTGATAAACGTCGAAAGTGTTTCTTTACCAGTTGCAACATTCTCAAGATTTCAACCACAATCTGAAGATTTTCTAGATATAACAAATCCTAAAGCTGTTTTAGAAAATGGGTTAAGAAGTTTTGCTTGTCTTACAACAGGGGACATTATTGCTATAAAATATAATCAAAGAATTTATGAAATGTGTGTTTTGGAAACAAAGCCAGGTCCAGCTGTTAGCATCATAGAATGTGATATGAATGTAGAATTTGCTCCACCAGTAGGATACGTAGAGCCAGAGGAAGAAGTTAAGAAAGATGAAAATGTAATGGATCCTGCAGATTTAATGCCAGCACCAGCTGGTTTTGTGCCATTTAAAGGGCAAGGAAACAGATTAGATGGTAAAAAACGAAAAGATTCTGCTCAAGCAGAACCTTCTGCAAACAAACCAACATATGTTAGAGGAATACCAGATTATGATTACAAAATAGGCACTCTTATATTTTTACGTAATATGAAACCTACCAATAATAAAGAGGTAAAATATAATTTAGAACTGTATTCATATGGCATTGGAATTATACATAAATATATTTTTGTAGGTAAAAGATCCAGATGAATTTAAAGCATTCACTGGTGAAGGTTTTTCTCTTAGGAAATCAAGAAAATGATTGAATTACTGACAGTCTATTTATTTTCTTATTATTACATACATATTTGTAAAAGTGAGTATTTGTATTTGTTATTAAATTGTTGTACTTTTTAACAAAAGTCTTATAAAAGTTCCTTAACCATTAAAATACTTATTTTTTTTGTTTGTTTTAAATTTGTCTGTTGTATATATATATATATATGTATTTCAAAGTCTTCTTCACTTAAATGTAGAATAAACTAAAAATACATACATTACCGATTTTAATTTACCTAAGTTTGTATAAAACTTACTTTAATGCTTTAGCCTATAAAGCATTTGTCTTATAATTAATATTCAAAACTTATATACTAATGCAGATATGATTAATGTACAGTGGCTTAGTATCACAAATTACATGATTTCAATGAGAAGTTTAATCAACTAATGGACCCCAGAAATATTTACTAGGTTTTGTTGGATCTTCTGTAATCAAAAATTCACGACCTAGCGTTATAAATTCTTCGAAATTGATTTTTCCATCATCATTAGTATCAATATGACTGAAGGAAATAATTGCGTCCTGCAATACATATTTTTATTTAGTTCATTAGTTTATTTAAGTTTTGTTTCACAACAGGCATAGTAATTTTACTTACATCATGTGTAAGACCTAAGCATTGGAAAAATAATTGGAATTCCTCCACAGAAATTTCACCGCTTTGATCTTTGTCAACTGCCTGCAATTATATATTTAATATTTTTTTAAACAAAACTTCATAATAAGAATTAGTGTATATAGAACATTTTTCACGGATATTTACTTTGAATAAAAAGGGCAAGAAGTGATGGCACTTCTTTTTTAATGATGAGTCATTGAGAACATGTTGCATTTCTTCTAAATACTTTTCAACACATACAAGATTGTATGGACTAATTTCTCCCCACTGTTCTTCCCACATTTCCTATATGGAAAAATATATATATAAAATATATACTTTAAAGACCGTTTAAATAATTTATACTTATTTTTTAATACTTACATTTAATAATTTTTTAAATTCAACTTTAGCTTCTGGAGATAAATGCCCTAAATCACAAAATCGTTCTCCAAGGAGCATAAAATCATCATAACTAATGACACCGTCTTTATTAACATCTAAATGACTATGTAAAGTCCTCATTTTTCTTCTCCAAAAATGAGATTGACCCTAACCAAACAAAATTATTTTTTTTATTATCAATTTTAAAAATTAAATTATATAAAATTAATTATGAAGAAATAAATGTAAACAATGAATTACAAATAATTTGTTCATGAAAAGAGTCACATAGTGATTAAATACAAATTGGAATATAGTAAAAAATAATATATTTAAATAAGTAATCGTTCATAATTCAAAACGGATTATAGCGCGCATGCGTACATAGTATGCGTAATTGCGCATGCGTATTTATACGTTTATGAATTCAAAAATACTATTCATATGTTATTTGAATGAATACGTAAAATATTGATATACTATTCTAATTAAAAAACTATATATCATATAATTGCAGTATATATTAATTTCATAAGTAATTACACTAACTATACAACTTCAAAATATGATAAAAATGATAGTATTTATATAAAAATATATGACTTACTTTTTCTTGTTCGTTGTCTGATTCGCTATCGCTTTCATGTTCTTCATTTACAAATGCAGAAACTCCTGTCTGATGTACGTTCCTGTTATTGTGCACACATCGAACGATTTCCTGGTACTACAAATAAATTATATGTAATTTTTAATTTTAGTACACATTTTTTTTCGAATTCATAAAAAGCCAAAATTTTTTAAACCTTCACCGATTATATTTCATGTCAAATGTAGGAACAAAAAATTATTATTTTTCATTAGATATTAATTTAAATGCATTATATAATTAATTTATATTTCAGTACAGGAATCCATGTTTTATACGGCCTACAGCAACCGTCCCGGTCGCCTGCATATAATGTATACAAATCCGCCATTGAATAAGAAAAACTGTGAATTGATGTATAAAGTGTCGAAACGGAGGTTTATGAAACAAATAACCCAGCAGGTAGCGGCGGGTCGTAAAATGAAAGTCTAAAATCTATTACGGCCACCATTTGTAACACGTATTAGCACGAAATAATAGTTATTTATTTTACACTCAAAAACGATGATTTTAAAGTATAAATAAATAATGTTAATCTTAAATGATAAAATAAATATTTTAAGAAACATTGTTTAAAATATCATGACATAAAACTATCAAATGTGCAATTGTTTATATACTTTTCAATATGCTCCAGGTAACAAAGTGTTTACATGTTATTATTTATATTTTAGAAAGCGTAATAGAGAATTACTTTAAATCTAAGATTTGATGATTGCACAATACTTCTCATCTCCGGTGCTACTTCGAAACGTAAAGCTGAAATAACACTTTTCTCAAGTAATTTATTTGAAAATGCAAGTCGTAGACTCCTTTGTAATAATGTTGCCATTTTTACTTGAAATATGTATTATTTTTATGAAATCAAAATATATCTTATTTCGTAATGAAATTATAATGAAAATGAAGAAAGTACACAATGAATTCGAACAAGATAACTTGAGGTTCACTTCGTAACGTTTAAGCTTAAGTACACATCAATACTAAAACTGTACTGTAGATTGGGCCCCTTATAATGGGTCGCCTATAGAATTCCCTCTCTTTTGCTTAGTGCGCATGCGCGAGAATGCCCTCACTAATCCTCTTGTTGATGCTTTTACTCAGTATACGCGCTCCCATACACGTTCCTCTCCCATAGATAGAACAAAACCATAAGCGTGTATATCGATAAAAATACAACCACGCATTTTACAGAGCAACAGTAAAACATCATTCATATAATTTAATATTTAAATATATACGCATATATATTTGTATATACGCATATGCGTACGTTCACAAATTGCGTTCCACATGTTTTATCTCTTCGGTACATGCACCAAAAATTCATTAATGTTAAGATAAAAATATATACAAACTAAATTACAAAAATAAATATTAAAATCCCGAAAATTTTATGCTAGCAAAACAGTAAAATTGATTTTATACACGGAAGTTAAAAGAGAAAGTTAAATTTTATTTATTTGTTACGCCTATGCCCGAATTTATCAGCATCTGTACGATAGGAGACAATTTGAGGTCCAATCAGTTTGTGTTACGAACAAACACCATGAGAAAAACGTAACGATTAGTTGGTAGTAAAAATAATCAGATTCAAATACGCTTAAAAAGAAATTTCGATGCACCACGGAAAATAGGTCACGTTGAACGTCATTCGAACGTACGCAAATACGTGTACGTGACAAGACGCATGGTGTGAATTTCTCGCTTTAAAAAATATATAATATATATATAGGTAACTAAGTGAAGGATGAAAAATGAAAGGTATCATGTATACTTGGTAAAGTATAAGTTCCCTTCAGACAAAAACTACTGTAGAGGAAAGAGCTTACCACCACTTATCTCCAATATTATCCAATGTTTATCTCCAATTTGGAGGAATCAAATATAGGAATTTTTTACTTACAAAAATTACAAAAAATTAAAAATGTCTAAATCTGTAAATTTGAAAGACTATAATTAAATTTAAAAATTTGCCAAATGTAACAACTGGTCCAGGAGAAGTGAACCCTTTCCCTTGGAAGCCCTATCTATTGTATTAGGTGAAAAATAAACTATTTATAAATTATAAAAATGATTAACCCACAATCACAGATCTGGAAATATCACTTTAGTATTTAGATGTATACCTAGCAAAAATCTAGATATTTTTAATATAGTCATGTTATTTTGCTTATCACTATTTTATTACTTAAAAGAAAATTACATAAACATTTTAGCAATTATTAAACAAACGAGTTTGCATCTAAAAATTTTGCAGATCATGTATCTGTAATCATAGGTTACACAATATATTGATACAGTTTATACTTGATATTCTTATTTTATTTACAATTAATATATGTTACAATTTTAACTTCCATATAAGATTGGTTTAAATGCCAATTCAAATATACATAATATCTCATAGATGTTATGTACGAATTGTTATTGAATTATGATACTGAATTCTGTGAAATGGATGCTATGCATTATTTAATGTAAATATATCATATTTTCAAACCTTTATATATATTTTAACTCTTTTTATACTCAATTCTTTCAACTTTTACTTCATCACCAACAAGTTGATATACATAAGTTACAACTGTTGAACTCTGGATATCCATAAGAACAAAAGATGGAATGACTGATCTGTATAATACAAATATTCATTTTAAGTAGTTTATCAATGAATATATATTATATGCAATAAAGAAATACTTAATACATGTATAGCATATTCCATTTGAAATGATTCACACAGAATCAGAATATTTAAGTAACATTATGAAATGTACAAAAACTTACGTATCAAGGGGATTATATGCTCCTGTTGCAGAACCAGGATTGATATAAAACTTATTTTCATGCTCATATGCTTCAAATTTATGTGTATGACCTGATATTAAAATATCAACATCTAATTGCCTTTGAATTAAAGCTAATGATTCAGGATCTCCCCAAGGCACAACTTGATGACCATGTGATAATCCTATTCTAAACTGTCCAACGGTAACAACTTTTTGTTCTGGATAATTTAAATTCTATAAAGCAAGTCAAAAATATAAACCTTCTTGTACTATATTTATAATATAAAATAATATCACATGAAACATACCTCATCAAAGTCTCCTCTAACAACATGCACATCACTAGCTAATGTTTTCAAATAATCATATGATTCTTTAGTACAAAGATTGCCTGTACATAAAATATGCTGTATTCGACCAGGCACCAATAGTTTTTTAAATTTGCTTGGAAGACTACTACATCTGTGCGGAATGTGCAAATCTCCTAATACTAAAACAAGCTACAAAGACATTATTTCAAACTTTATATTTTGTTTTAATAAATAATATACATTTTCAAAATTAAATACACAATTTTACACTATAACTTATAAAATTCACGTTTAATTTTATTTGTAACACTATTATATTATAAAAAAAGTTATAAAATAATACTGCTCCTTTGTAAGGTTAGAAATTAAACACAAGAAGATTTATACATGTAACATAATCGTTAATATTAGCAGTCTATTTTTCAAGCTCACCATGATTTATTTAATAATATCTTTATATCCTGTATATATTTTTAAGTGTATATATTTAGTTTATTGCATTTGTTAAAAACGAAATGTATAAATTACTAAAATGTCAAATATGCTGGTAACAACATGAAAGAACTTGACAGATAGAATTCGATTTTCGAGATTCGAGTTTCGAGTATGGTTCGAGTGTATACCTACTGTCGATGGTTTTTGTAATGCGCTAAAATATGAACCAGACTTGAAAAATTCTTACTGTAAATTTATGTGTTTGTAACGTACATAATTTTTGTGTAATTTATATTCATAATCACCAAATATTTATTTAAGTTATTAACAATAATAGATTTGATGATTGAACGTATGTATATATATAATTACTTTCAAAAATCGAATCGATTAATGTATTTATGTTACGAATTTCATATAATGTCATGAATTAATTAACAAAGATTAAAATATTACATGACATTTAGTTAATAATAAATGTTGTAATGATAAAATTTCAATATGAAATGTGTTGTGCCAGGAACAAACGTGAAAAGTATGTTGATTTCATTCAGGTTATATTTTTGATTACTCATTTTATTTAAAAAGGATCATTAATATACATTGACTGTGTGATAGTTTTAGCCAAAGCCATACATACATTAGCAAGAATTGGAGATGAAATGTACATAGAACCACAGAAAGATGCTATATCATTTCGTACAGTTAATATGGCAAATTCAGCATACGCTGATTTTACATTTTCCCAAGATTATTTTTCATACTACATGTATGGTGATTTACAGGAAAGTGATGCACTGAAATGCAAGATTTCAATGAGGGTAATAAAAAACAATTATATTTCTTTATTAAGTAAGAAATGACTTAAAATTTGTATTTTACAGAGTGCGATGACAGTATTTAAATCTCCAAATACAATGGATAGACAGATAGAAACATGTCACATTAAATTGGAACCAGATGCATCAGAAATTTTGTTCATTTTAAAATATAAGAATAGCATTAACAAAACTCATTTATTACCCATATTGGATTGTGAAGTATTACAAGTATGTTTTGTATATCTCATTTAGATCTTTTTTGTTCTTATTTCTTATTACAATTGTTGTTTGTTATGCTGTAGACTGCATATGATAAAGATTGTGCCACGAATAAACTGTTAACTCAGGCACGTGTATTAGGAGATGCACTACACAATTTTCATCAACAATTAATGGAAATAACGCTTGAAGTTTCAGCTCAAAAACTTTTATTAAGGAATTATGTAGATGATACTTCAGGTAAATAATATTATTTAAATGATGTAACAAGTCATAATTTGGGTTAAGTATCCTTGACATATAATTAAAAAATTTACAGGTCTGTCCAATACTACACGAACACAACTTGCTCTTGGCAAAGGAGAATTTGATCGATATGATATCAATAGTGAAACATCAATTACATTTTGTATGAAGGAATTCAAATCTTTGCTAACATTTGCAGAACTTGTGGGTGTACCAATTGGCACATATTTTGAAGGAGCAGGAAGGTAACAACTAACAATTCAAATTAAAATTATTTTTAATTTACAATTCTAATATTTTTCAGACCAGTTATATTTGCTTTAAAAAATCCATCTTTTGAAGCAAATTTAGTTTTATCCACAGTGAGTGCTGATACTGATAGTCAAACTGAAACAACATTAGATGGTAAACAAGAAAAATCTGTGAACAGAAGAGTTGAAAATAAAAGAACGTCTAGAAAAACTAATAAATCCAGAAGTAGAATAGACAATAAAACAGCTAAATCGAATAAAACGTTAGGAAATAGTGCTCTTAACAATACGAATCAATGTTTTGTGGATAAAAGTAAAAAAACAAACCAAAATACTTCTAAAGATCAACCCTCTTTACTAGTTAGTAAATCTACAACTGATAATGACAGTGAAGTAAATGGTTTATCAGTAAGACAAAATGCACATAGAGAATCTCAGATATGTTCTTCATCTAGCTATGATACAAGTAAAAAATCTATAAGTGGAAAAAAATTAGTTAATTCTATATTTTCTTCAATAACGAAAAGAAAGTCTATTAGCGACGAATCTGATAAACAACAAATGCAAAATAATTCTGATACATTAAAAGATGCTATACCAAATTCACCATCTCCACCAAACAAAAAAGCTCGTTTAATATTTCAGAAGTGTTTTCAAACAACATTTGATCCACAAACTTTACCCGGATTTGATGTAATTTTAGCAGAGGATTCAGATGAGTGTTGTGAATAAATATAATTTTTTACAACTTTTCACATTTGTGTCTTGACTCTTATAAAGAATTTATACCGTGTTATAAATATTATAGTTTAATCTGAATTTATAATTAAAAATTTGTATATATGCATATAAAACAAAATCATTTTTCTTTCTGAATTAAATTGCAAAATGAATCCACGATTCCTGGCACCCAGAATGATATATTTACAGCATAAATGTAAAATATAAAATTATAATCATTTTCCGTGACGTTTCGGATCATTCGTTCATCAACATGATGGGAATCGGAAGAACAGTAAAGCATGCGACTCACCGATCGCTGACTCGCACTACTGAACTCGTAACGCACCTCACAAGGAAACATATCGAACCGCGACACACCGATTTTAATGAAACTTATGTGAAAGATAGTTCTCAAAAAAATATTTGACACGTATTTTTTTTTATCGGCAATCGTTCACATTAAAGGGGTGAAAATAGCCCTCGAAGTTGGGGGTTGAAACCATGTTTTTGGGAATATCTCCGGAACAAAAGAAGATAATTGAATTCTTTTTTTTGTAAATTGTTCGTCTTTAGATAGGAAATTTTTGTGCGTAAAAAAATTTCAATGAACTTTATTTGTTTAAATAATATTTAAAAAATTCATCATTTTTATTTAAATTTTTGCACTAAATGTTGATCTACTTTTTTGCAACTTCGTGTACGTAAACTATGGACAAAAATAGAGGATACGTGTTTTTGGAATTTGTTGTTTGTTGCAATGTTTATTAGATATATAATTTAACATCACCTCCTGTGAAGAGGGGCAATCATCATTTTTATTAAAAATATCATTATTTTTACAATCTTTTACATTATTTTAGCGATTTTATACCTCTTCATATGCCGTTAATTGATTTCTGAACAATTATTGTAAGCGTCACAGGTATGAGCGTGACGCGGTTACAATCATTGCCGTAAGGAACATAGGCTTTTATGGCCAATACTGCTTTTATACTTTTACAGGCGTAAAGACTTCATTCTAAATAAAATATTTAGAACTTTTGGAAACATTGGGATTTTTTAAGAAACTCAGAAAATAAAAATAAATTAAATTATTTTTTAACAATATTGGCCATAAAAGCCTATGTTCCTTACGGCAATGATCGTAACCGCGTCACGCTCATACCTGTGACGCTTACAATAATTGTTCAGAAATCAATTAACGGCATATGAAGAGGTATAAAATCGCTAAAATAATGTAAAAGATTGTAAAAATAATGATATTTTTAATAAAAATGATGATTGCCCCTCTTCACAGGAGGTGATGTTAAATTATATATCTAATAAACATTGCAACAAACAACAAATTCCAAAAACACGTATCCTCTATTTTTGTCCATAGTTTACGTACACGAAGTTGCAAAAAAGTAGATCAACATTTAGTGCAAAAATTTAAATAAAAATGATGAATTTTTTAAATATTATTTAAACAAATAAAGTTCATTGAAATTTTTTTACGCACAAAAATTTCCTATCTAAAGACGAACAATTTACAAAAAAAAGAATTCAATTATCTTCTTTTGTTCCGGAGATATTCCCAAAAACATGGTTTCAACCCCCAACTTCGAGGGCTATTTTCACCCCTTTAATGTGAACGATTGCCGATAAAAAAAAATACGTGTCAAATATTTTTTTGAGAACTATCTTTCACATAAGTTTCATTAAAATCGGTGTGTCGCGGTTCGATATGTTTCCTTGTCAGATTGATTGACTGCATTCAACCGCATCTTTAGAGACCGATTGACTGCATCTTTTGTATTAGTTCAAGATCGGCTGCTTTACACCACAAAACCGACTGACAATATTTTATAATTATTTATACTGACAATTTTGTGTTTTACCTTTATGTTCTAAATCAGTACAAAATTATGATTTGCTTTTTCAAATAAATTTTCAATGTAGAAAAACAATTTATATACTACTATTTTCTGATTAACATTTATGAAAGTTAATAAATGTTCTTTTTCTCAAAATCGATAAATTGCGTTCAATTGAAGAATAAAAATGTAAAAAGTAATTTGGTGGTTCCGGCCGGGATCGAACTGGCGACCTTCTGCGTGTAAAGCAGACGTGATAACCGCTACACCACGGAACCTTGTTGTATGTTCAACTGAAATTAATTATTCTATAGCTAAATTATATTCTTTTCATTGAATACTCTAATTCTTTCAAATATTATGTTCTAGATGTCGCACCAGATGTTTTGAATTTAACGTTTATCTAGTACACGTGTGTTTGTCGAGTTGCTCGTTAGTAAATTATTACATGCTTTAACAAACAGTGGTGGAAATCCAATACAATTCTAATTAGAATAATCTTGCTTTCGTTTCGGTATATTTGAGTATTTATCATGGGGAAGAGATATTATTGTGCTTATTGTGACAGATCCTTCAAAGATGATCCGGAGGCTAGGAAGAAGCATCTTTCTAGTTTACAACATGCCAAAAATCGTGCAGACCATTACAATATGTACAAAGGTGATTATTTAATAAGAAGATACAAGAAACAATTACAAATGTCAATATACTACATTTATAACCTCAAATCTGTTAACCACTATGCTATATAATTTGCAGATCCAGAAGTTATATTAAGAGAAGAGTCCACAAAAACGCCATGTAAGCGTTATTTAACTATTGGTGACTGTGCATTTGGTCTTGGATGCAGATACTCTCATTATACCCCTCCAATGATATGGGAGCTTCAACGACTTGGTAATAAAATGATTAAAAGCAAAAGTATTATTGTACCATATATTTTGTTTTGACTGTTCATTTTATTTTCAGTTGCCATTAAATATCAATCAAAGTTGAATGTTGTACCTGAAAATGGATGGCCAAATCCTGATGATATTATCCAAGAATATTTTCAAGATACCATGAATTCAAATAATACAGAGGAAATTAATTATCCAATGTGGTATAGACCATTAGAATTACATGACTATTCTATGCTACCACCATCATTATGGCCTATCACACCAGAAAGCTTGGCAGATACCTCAACTTTCAAGGAATGGGGTTAAAAATAAGGCATGAATCTATTAATTATATTAAGTAGATTATTAATTACATTAAGATTTATTATTAAAGTTATTTTTAATAGTAGACCATACATTGATTAATAAAAATAAAATTTACACTAATTCACACATAAGACTGAAATTTAACTAGGAATTAAGAACTATTTATTTCTTAATTAATATAGGATGGTTATTAATATTATATTTGATTTTTGATTCATTAAAAAATTTACATATCTACGTGTTCCTGTTGACTATGTATTACCATACTAAATCTTAGTATAAGTAGTTATAATCAATTCTTTGAGTATTGAATTGCATTATTAATTGCAAATTATCATATACATAAAAAATGAATAGTACAAAGCTTGAATTGTATCTTCATTTTTCTCAAATTCACTTGTTAACCCATTGTAAACTTTACATTTAAAGTTATTGTTCACTTAGCAACACATTTGTAAAATTATTATTTATAAAATACATGTAATTAAGAAGATGTAGGAATTATTCAGTATTGTTCAAATATTGTGTTGTTAGGTGATTGACACCCTTTATTCTGATTGAAAAGCTTTATTCATACTTTTATGTGTGTTTGCATAGCTTATTTCCTATGGATATAACATATTCAATTCTCTGTTTGTTGATAAAAATTCAACAGTAAAATCAATTGTTGCATGATTTCTAAATCCTGAAAAAGAAATACATTTTTAATTTTCATAAATAATACCAAGAAATATATATCTTTTTTAAGAGAATTTATATTATTTTAAATTTATAACATTTTTAAAAGATATTACAGAAAATTGATTTCATCTTAAACATAACAAACATTTCTAATAATTTTTTTTAATTAGCAAGTTTGTTACGCATTTATATTTGAGAAATATACAAATTTCTTTCTATTTGTAATAGAATGCAACAAAGAATTGGTATAGTATATTGTCATCAGGAATACGTAAGTATGCAGAGTTGTAAATTAATTGAACAGCGAGAATCACGTTAAAAGTCTATTACAAAACTTAATGCAATAGATCGAGCTAAATAGAAGTCTAAGATAATTAAAACGTTATAAATTAAATATTCGTGATTAAACAGATACACCATCTCCCGGGTCGGGTATGAATCAGACTCGGCCGCACTCGGTGCTAGTCGGTAAGGTTCGTGACTGCCATCTGTCCCCGTCATCCCCTCCACCAATGATCGGTCGGGAAGGCAAGCACACAATGAACTCCATCGCACAGTAGCGAAGCACCCGTTGCCACGATAGTTTGGCGTTTCGAGCGTAGTGTTTGGCGCGCCGCCGTGTCGTTTCGTTTAAAAAGGAACAATTGACCAGTGTACGTTCGAACATCGTGCATAGCGATTATGAGATTGATTCGATCGCGTAATACGCGTGGATTTTCGCCGGTGTGCCAAGCAGAAGACGTCGGAAGTGTTTGAAACTTCTGAGTGTTGTCGGCACGGCGGGACGCCGGCCCTCGATCCGCCGACTGGATTTTCGATCGCCGCTTCGGATCATCTCGATCGTACCGGTGAGTCTTTACAATAATCTTTACCTTTTAACTGATATCTTATCTTGTAACGATCTGAGTCCTAAGTTGAACAAGTCACGTGATTTGATTAAGAACGAAAGGCTTAATACAGTCGATTCTCGATTATCAGGTTTCAAAGTTCCTTGTAAAAATGCTTTGAACTTTTTCATCTTATTGCGAATTAACTTTTGCTGTCAATCCTTTCTTTATTAACATAAATATCGACACGTAATACAATTCACAGGAGTATTATAACTAAATATCATAATTTTTCTTTCGTGACAAAGAACAGTACTGTTTTGTCCTTATAAATAATCGTTGTAGAAGTTATGGATTGTAAACAAGTTTAGACAGGTTCTCTTTTCTTTGTACCCAGGGGAAGCTGGGTAATATCACTTTGGATAATCGAGAATGTACTGCAGCGGGTAATAATAGATTGCGATTATGAGAATAGATAGAGATAGTTTAGGCGTGAGTCTAAATGATACGCAGTAAATTCTTTGAACACCTGTGGAATTGATTTTTGACTCGCTTCAGTGAGTTCGATTTGACAGAAGTGTCATTTAAATACGAATCGCGGCGACGTGACTGTACGTCGTGGATATTGGAGGGCAATTTAAATACAATAGATTGTCTTCGATTAGTTTGCGCAACCGGAACAACATTATTGTCCCTAACAGTATGGTATGGTTTTACTCGAAACAAATTCCGCATTGTACAGTACGCATTTCAAATAGTTTTATTGCACAGTGGCGATTACTGTTCCCTATGGAAAATGGCTACGTAGGGGAAGGAGACTCCACCGCTAGTTTTTGATTGATAAATTACAAGAATCAATTTTTTTGCAATTAGACATTTAAAATTTTTCATTTTTTTAAATTTACAGATTGAAATTTAGAAATTTTGCAAATTTTTTTCAATTATAATTTTACGGATTACAAATTTGAAAGTTCTAGAAATTAAAGAAATTTGGTGGGTAAACAATGTGATCCAGTATGCACATAATTGACAGAATTATTCAACAGCCATGTACTGTATTATTATCCAGACACACAATTTTAATACATAACACTTTTCGATTATGATATTACCATGATTATGGACAGATCAAATTTGAAGTATTGTCATCACGGTAATTGGAGTACAAAATACAGATTTTATGATGACTATGCAAGGGATCTTAAAAATCTATATTTATGTGTCGATCGATATTCGCGATGATACTCTTCGATAATACGTGAAATTATCGTGCATGCGACACCTGATTCATATTGATAGAAGACAAATTACTGCATGTTAACTTCTTCAAGATTTAATTTTTTTTTATTTATATGCAGGCTATACAATTTTTGAGACATTAATATTAATTTAATTGTTAATTTAATTATAAAAATTGATAGTAAGGTAGCAAATTTTTTAATTTAAATAATCTGATTCGATTTTTCGTAACTTCATGTAATTAAATTTCAAAATTTTATATTTTATAATTTTTAAATATCCAAATTTTTCAATTTTCAAATTTTACAATTTTCGAATTTAAAATTCTCATATTACAAAATTTATTTTTACAATTTTTACAATTTCACATTTTTTAATTTTTTAAATTCCCAAATTTTTCAATTTGTAAATTTTTCATTTTTTTTAGTAATTTATTTGTGTTAGTAATAAGATAGATGATAATCATACTAAAGTATTTTATAAATATCTAGGAACCCATAATTTAGTATACTCAACTAACTACTGCAAGTAACATTAAGAAACCTCGGCCACGAATTTTTCCTTATTTCAGGAAAGCACATGCTATAATTTCACGAAATTATTACTTTTTGTCCCCACCGTTAAATGAATTTTGTACCCAATCTCTACTGAGAAGATTATATACATTCCAATTTAAGATGGTGCTTAAAATTCATCTCTCAAAATATTTCTTGTGTATCTCAACACTGTGTTAAAAAACAGGATTGAAATTTTATTACATTTCATAATATTTTAGAGGGTGTTATTCACTTATTAATATTTTTAATGACAACTTTGTTCACCAGTATAATAAATCTAGAGTAGGATTATCAACAAAGTACCAGAAACAAAAAAGAAAAACCGTACTAATTTAGTCGAGAAATTTCCACAGGTGTAACCTTACATTAAGAAATCGACTTTAGTTAGTCTAGTTTTAATAATATTAGTTCATATAGATTTTTATAAACGTAAACTATCTTTAAAAAATTATGATTTAAAAATTCATTTTTTAATAATATTTCAACGTTAAATTACCGTATATATTTATTATCTTAATAACAAAATTACATTCTTTTAAAAAAGCGCGAAATTCAAATAGCAGCGACGCCTGATATTTAACCGTATTACAAGAGTGAATGACAGGTTACTTTACGAGAGAATAAAAAAGAAATATTTTGACCAAATAAGCATTGATTATGTCCTACAAGAAAGCACTTTAACACTAGAATATATAGAAGGCGTCAAAATGGCGCACCTTAGTTTATTTTAAATTACAGATATTATTACAATGCTTTTATCGAACGTAGAAAAATTGTATAAACTACTTTACATTTCATTCATTAAATATTTATCGTTGTACCTTATTTTTAATCCAAAACTAACCGCACATCAAGCGTTCGTAAACCTCGCGTTAATAACGCAACAAGAGTGGCGTTATTAGAGTGTTTTCTCATCGAATATAAACACGGAGTAGAAGTTTACTTGAACTTGAACGATACGGAGAAAGTGTATCGAACGTAAACCATGTATCGTAGATATTGCATCATCGATCTGGTTTCCATAGTAGCCCACGTTTGTTGCAAAAAGGTTAAATGTGGTGTGACGAAGTGGATGGCAACGACCTGGCCATATACATCGGTTGACTTACGTGTAGTCGTGTCACGATTCTTGCTGGAGGTCGTGACCTTGTCGATATAGGGAATAATCGTGCGTTCGTTTGTACGTCGTATACGTATGTACGTGCTCGTGTATGTAGTCGGGACAGGATCGTCCCTGTGAGTCAGTTTCCCGATCGATTTCACGCGTGTACGTACTTACAACTCTCGGCCATTGTTGGCCTCCGTGCGTTCACAATGGACTTGTCTATTTTCGAGCAGCTGCGCTGCCCTCTTTCGAACAATGCGAGCGCACAGGACCCGCTCGCTTTTCGATCCTACGTCTCCTGCATACACCGATTTTTCTTCTCTAGAACTTTTACTGTTACTGGTTAACGTTGAGTATTCACACTTGGTACCTTGCGAGCATTTCACCCGTTGCAATGATGAAGCAAGTTGAAAGTTTTTATTTATAAAAATAATTTTTAAAGTAATAAATATACAATTCTTTGTTATTATTTATTTTTGTAATTAATACGAATATTTGCAATTAGACCAGTGAATAAATATTTAATGTAGTCGATCGATACTTGTGAAAATTAAAGCGTCGCTCGTATACAGATAACCTACAAAATTACAGTTTTGACAGTTGTGTAAATTTCGTTTCATAATTGGATGTTTTTCAATGAACTCATAACATTGTATTTCAGGATGAAATTTTTGAATATATGAGGATCTAAAATTTTGGGATTTCTGAATTTGAGACTTGAAATTTTTAGATTAAAAAATTTGGAAACTGTCAAAATCCAAGATCAATATTTATAGTACTTACATAATGTCAATACACGTCAATCATATAAAAGTATTGCATATTTTATCACAGTAGGTCACTGAAGCTGTTGAATAATACAACATTAATGTCAGTAATAATTAATATGCACTATAAATATTTTCCTACGAAATTGATCAATCTAACTTCCGAGAAACTCGATTCTAGCTACATTCAACTCACTGTTCCGACGAAACGATTCTAAATGAAAACTAATTTCTCGTATGACGTCGGTGCCGTAATTCCCCTTCACGGGCTGCGTATAGTATCTAATCGAGAAATAATCTTCACAAGGACAATAATAAGCGCGGGCGATCGTTCCAGCAGATTGATAAAACGTGTTTTCGTACGAGTCGAAGTTTCGTGGGTTAAATTCGTCCGAACGTTTTGTTGGTTCGTTCGTGCTGGTAAAAACGAGCTACCCAGCAATTTAACGTCATTTAGTTCTATTGCCTTTATTACGTCACGCGATTTCTCTACCCTCTCGTCTCGTTGCAAATTGTGCTCATCGTTTTTGCACGATCGTCTCGCGATTCTTCGTCAAAGAATTTCATTTAGTCTGCTTCCTTTCTTGCTTCTCGTACGTTATTGTTTTACGCGATTCGATATTAGATATCTGGTTATCGCTTGATTGATAAGCCGTTCATAGAAACGCTTTATCGCGCGTTTAATATTTCTCGAATTAAATATTTGTCACATTTGTTGCCCTTTGTACGTAACATTTTCGGATTGTTCTGTATGAGAATATTTTTACATGTATAATATAATATATACGATGATATGTGATGATATACATGTATGATATATTTGATATTATGTAAGATATTAATATAAAATATTATGTAGTACATACAAATAAATTTGTACATATAGATGTATTGCAGTGTAGGGTATATGTATGTCTATATACAGTTTTATATTTATCTTAATTGTTTCCTGAAAGAAATGTAATTATAAGCTTATCTTGAAGTGTTAATTACTGCACCATTGAAACTGTGATTTATTACTTGATACCTTGAACTACATATTTTTAATTTAATCATTAATTCAGTTATATTTAGTTTCATTATATTTAACTTATTAATATCTCAGGGTTTAATAATTAATCAATTCATTAGTTAATGATGTGATGTGCATATACATTATATTTGATTACAATTCAAGATTGAAGCTAATTTTTATTTGTATGAGATTTGAACAATATTAAATTTGAATCTTTATGAATTTGATACTAATTAAAAGAGATAAAATAATGAAGTTATTAAATGAAAATTTAAATTTAATTATTCAATTATTTAAATGACTTCAAGTTTTATTTTTTGAAATTGAAGAAATAATAA